CTATAGGTGATGGCTTACTAGCTCAAATTGTTAGGTTATTCTATTAGAAGTTGTATTTCATAAAACATTAACAGGAGACATTTATAAAGTTTTACAAGAGAAACACAAAACAAAATTAAAAACAGCAGAAACACATTTAGTTTGTATGACTGCTCTGAACCAAGAAACACAATTTTTATAACACTTATATACCTTTGATATTTGGTTACCTTCTACAAAAACCAATAAATAATTTATCAGCTCCATCATGCATGATATCATTTACAAATCCTATTTCTTTTTAAAACCCTTTTGCACCCTACTAGAACTTCCCATTGCCTACTTTGGGGGTTATCCTAACATGGAGCAGTGCAAAAGGCAGAGTCTTAGCCCAGGAAAGGCTGGTCTTTTGACAAATGTTAGTTGAAATTTTTACATTTTAAGCTAATATTCTTCTCCCCCACCCTTTAAATATCATTCTACTCAGGAGTAAAAGAAAACAAAGCTCTCACGTATTGAATCTGTTTGAAGATTAGTTAACATGATATAATCACATCTGCAACCTAGCTCCAATGGAAAGGCTAAGAAAACGCTTAATTTCCCTTTTTTGGTGGAAAAACTGTTTTCATGTTGCATATTGCCAACCTTAAAAATTAATCAGGTTCTCCCTATTGTCTTTCCAAAAATACATATAAATTCCTACCCCAGTGTAACAAATAACATAATTCTCCCCATATAAATCATCAGTAACAGGTTACTTTTAGCCAATTACATATCTTAAATGACATTCTGTCTCTTAAGAATAAATGAAAAGTTTAAAAATTAAAATAGAATGTAGTAATTTCTGAGGTACTCCTTAGATGACCAATGTCCAATTCTTTTAATTATCACAGTATCACAGTTTGGAATGCCAAGGGTTTGTGAATATCTAACTATATTTGCTCAAAGAGAACAGTCATAATACAAACAAGAGCACAAAAACATGTACCTGAAAAAAAAAAAAAAAAAAAGCCTGTCCCCACAATTGGAGGACACCAGTTTGGTAAGGTGTTTTCCCTAACTTTGCATTTTAGAATACATATACATTTGGGGAACATGAATACATTTAACATACAAAGAAGCCAGGAATACTCAGTATCAGAGCAACACAGAAGTTCCCCCCACCCCACATATGTATATGTATAAAAATCATAGTTCAGTAAGGTAACTCTTAATATTGTAGTTTTGCCTTTAACTAGTCTACATAGGTTAATAGCACCAGCAAATTCCAAGATTAGATTTAAAACTCTTGTCTGTTCAGGAAACAGTGCTAATACCCATAAATAGATTATTACCTGATGTACAAGTGCATCTCATGTATGTAAAGAACACTTAACAAATCACCTTGTATGTATTAAACCTACATACTTTTAACTTTACAAACTCATGTGTAACATTTAGACAAAGCCTATTTAGCTCTCGGGTTTAAACAGTCCCTCCGAAACTAAGAGCAACTTCCTGATAGCTTTCTGTAGGATGTGAATTAAAGTTCCAAATTGTTCTAACTTCTGAACTTCCTCATACTGAGGAACTTGTAAACTTCCTCTCAATTAGGAGGCTCATTGGAAGCTGAGATAGACAGGTTCTCTGGGTAACTAAATCTGCCTACATCTCTTGCCTTTGTCCTACTTTGCCTCCTCTTCTCTTCTAAAAGCTTTTCTCACCCTTCAGCTCTCTTAAGATGATTATTTCAGACAAAAAGTCTCTTCCTATCTTCCTTCAAAGCTGGCTTTGAATTAACCTATTTTCCTGCCAATACTTTTCAGAGTATTTGTGGAGCATAATGAGCAGCAAAGCCTAGCCTCTTGCCCCTGCTCAATATCAAGATGCATTCAGGTTTCTAGTCACAGACATACAGGTGTCAAATATATCATAATAATCTAACATTGCCATTTAATTAGTTATAAAGTGAGTGTTGAAAAGATTTTAAAACAGAAAGGCACTTACACCCTAATTCTTTTTAAGAGTTTCTTCAAGTAATGAAAACCTAATCAACACAAGAAATTATTTTAATAAAACACAAAATTTTTATTCTTAAGACAGTTCCCTTTAAATGTTAATGATAGCCTACTTAATTACACAAATTTGATATAATTTATCTCCCACAAATCTTGTACAACTTCCTTAGATACTCTATAACTTGTTTACATCCTTAATTTTTTCCTCTTTTTTACCCATCTTGGACTTTAGGACAAAAATCTTACTTTACCATACAAAATCCCTTCTCATCCAAAAAATTCCCCCAAAATACATCCGAATAATTTTCTCTTTCTTCTTGTTGATTATTACTTGTTGGTTATATTATGCCTTTTTTCTTCCTTAAGTTTAAAATTTAAAACAATCTTTAGAAAATTTCTGAATTTAAGCTAACTAATCTTTTATCAATGACTTAAAATACCTTATGCTTATTTAAATTAAAACATTAAGATTTTTTGTGTTCTTTGCATATAGAATTACATGTTAATTAGAATTTAACTTTTAGTGATCTTGCTTTTTAGTGAAGAGCAGAAACTTATTCTTTCAAATACCAATAATTCATAAAAATACAATTATTAGTAGACCCAATCACATATATATTCTTATAGAATTTAAGAATACTTGAACTTAGCAATTGATGTTTCAATATTTTTTAAACATTTTTTTTAGTTGTAGGTGGACACAATATCTTTATTTTATTTTTATGTAGTACTGAGGATTGAACCCAGTGCCTCATGCATGCTACGAGCACTCTATCTCTGAGCTACAACCCTAGTCCCCAATGTTTCAATATTTTCACTTACAAATGACTGAGATGTTTTTCCTAACACATACATTTAAAAATGTTTATTCCATTTATGTCTATCTAATTTACCCACTTCAATAGTTATTTTTAGATTACCCAAGAAAACCAGGGTATCAAACACAGTTAACATTTTAAATTATTAATATTATTAGTAGTAGTATTTGCCAAAGAAAAACCCTAAAAGCAATGGATGCTGTATTTCAAACTTCTTAACAGAGGCAAATATAGTCCTGACTGGTGAGTAACCTAGGTAAAAAAAAAAAAATTTGTGTTCATTATTCCAAAGATATCTTTACTTTTATCTAACAAGTTTAAATTATTTTTAAGGATTTACATAAGTTATTTGAACTCAAAGTCATATGAATTTATGTCCTTTAAATTTATGAGCACTTATTTATGTGTAAGCTAATTTGGTACCATGTAGGCACAATGTACAATATACACATGTACAAAAACATACATAAAAATGTTATAGTAGGTAGACAGATGTGAGTAGGGTGATGGGAGAAGGGAGAATAGAGCTCACTCCATCTTGAGTGATAAGATCACTCCACTTTGTGGGATGAAAAACTCCACCCATAACCACCACTGTCATAGGTGCTTTTTTTTCAGGGCTAGATATGGAAACCAGGGCCTCATGCACACTAGATAAGTGTTCTTATCTATCTTATCTTATCTATCCCCAGCCCTAGATACTACCTTCTTAAAACTAAAAAGAAATGGAACTTTCCTATTTAGGAGTATGCACAGAGAACTGAGGCACTAAGCCATAGCAGAAAGCCATGTTAACCGCCCCAAATGAAAAATTCATGGTGGGAGGATCCCAACTAGATCATAAAACCCTACAATGCAGAAGACACAAGGCTGCTTCCTTTCTTAGAATGGTAGCACTGTGCTCTCCCTGGGGTGTTAGTATCTGGGCTTTTTCTCCTGCCACTCCATTATGTAAATTAGCTTTTTGCCTCTTTGTCCTAATCTTTGCAGTCTTGCCCTTGTTAGTGCAAAATACAAGTGCATCAGCTAGCTCAGAAGGTTGCAATTTTGAAGTGGAACCTCCACTAAAATGGGGATCAAATTCAAGGAAGGAGAAAGTGTTTGGAGAAAAATCCCATCTGGCACTCCAGCTGGTTTTATGTTTGATGATTATGGTGCCTCAACTTTCAAGTACTTAAAAAAAATGGGGAACATTTGATATTTCTAAGTTGGTTTTCCTGAGTGCTGATCTAGGTCCTTGGGCTAAAACAAAAATGTACAAGAGAGTTAATAATAATTAGTCCACTATTCAGGACAGCCCCACGGAAACAGCCCAAATACCCACCCATAATAAAAGAGATAAATATGCCATATTATCCATAATGATCAAACTACCAACTTGCATGGTAGTATGGAGAATCTCAACCATAATGTTGAGTGAAAGAAGGCGGAACACCTGGTTAAAGAGTAGATTCTGTTTATACAACATTGAAAAGCAAGAAAACCACAGTGTTAGAATTCAGGCACTCTTCAGGGAGAGGGAGACAATATAACTGGGAGAGGGAGGATAAGGGGACTTTCTGGGGCACTGGCCATGCTCTATTTCTAGACCTAGATGGGGCTACAGGTGTGTTCACTCTGATAATTCATCTTATAACTTGTGCATTTTTCTTTTGGCAAGTCATATTGTACTGAAGATATAAAATAAGCTGGCAGTCCTGCTCATCAATCTGTGCACTCCTTACTGCTGCAGTCAGTGTGGGCAGGGTCTACCTCCAGGGTCAGCATGTGGTGAGATCAACAGTAACTGCTCCCAGGCACCAGTTCATGTACTCTTCATGAGTCCCCCCATAAGTTGAGGTGCTTTTAAGATCTTTATATCTCCATTTAACAAGTGAGGAAACTAAGGCTTAGGGAGAGCAATAACTTGTCCAAAGTCCCAGGCTGGTTAAGTAGTGGAGGAAAACTCAAACAGGACTCCAAAGCTCATGTTCTTGGCCACCAGATAGGAGGGAGTGTGCTGCATGGCCACTGGGCTCTTAATCGAGGGAGTCCTTATAAACACAGCTGCTTGAGATTTGGCTTTAATTTACTGCAGCCAGTGAGCCTGATACAAACAGTGAAGCGGCATCACAAAGTCTTTGCGCAGAAAGACTAAGAAGATTTTCACTCTCAAAATCTGAAATATGAGGAGGCTGGGGTTGTGGCTCAGCGGTACAGCACTCACCTAGCATGTGCAGGGCGCTGGATTCGATCCTCAGCACCACATAAAAATAAAATATGGGTATTGCGTCCAACTACAACTGAAACAAAATATTTTAAAAACTTAAAATATGAGGAGTTATTAACAAGTATTAACAACTAATAACTTGTCATTTAGGCAGATATATACTGAGCACTAGAAAATACAGAGGCAGGAAATAATCTGTTCAGAGAAAAAAATTAACAAAGAGTGCAATGTTACAATTATTTAAGCCAAAATAACCTGAAATTCTTTCCTGAGGTGCAAAAATGCTGGCTATTTTCTGAAAAAAGAAATCAAATTTAATTCCTTTAAAAATATATAAAACTTTTCCTTTATTTTATTACTGGAAATTAACCCCAAAGTGCTCTACCATTGAGTTACATCCCCAGCAATGCCCCCTTTTTTTTAATTATTATTTTTTATTTTGAGATAGGGTCTTGCTAAATTGCCCAGGTTGGCCTCAAAATTGCAATCCTTCTGCTTCAACCTCCCAGGTGTCTGGAATTACAGGTGTAATCCCAGGTGGGATTATAGTTCGGTACCACTGTGCTCAGCTATATAAAATTTTTCTAATTGCAAATGTAATAGATGTTCATCAGAGAAAAGTTAGTGAATGCAAAAAAAGTACGAGGAAAATGAGAGCTGTAAAGACAGCAATATTACCATTTTTGAAGAAGATCTACCAAGTGTCTCACTCAGTTATATATACACAAACTCTCATCTCATTTGCTACCCCTTTCCCAATCCCATTCTTTCCCTTCCTTGAGGAGTCTGCACTTGCTATTCCACTAATGAGTTCTTGGAAAGGCTGGCTTCTTAAACTTTAGACATCAGCAAAATGTCACTTAGAAGAATCCTTACCTGACCCCTTATCTCAAGTTAAGTTTCCCCAGCCCTTGTTTTCTATCACATCCTTCTTATTTTCTTCTAAGCATTTAATGCTATCTGGATTTTCTTTAAAAAAAAAAAAAAAAAAAAAAAAAAAAAAAAAAAAAAAATTGGTGGGCTGGCTTTGTAGCTCAGTGGTAGAGTGCTTGCCTAGCACTTGTGAGGCACTGGGTTCAATAAAATAAAATAAAGGTACTGTGTCCATCTACAACTAAAAATATATTTTTTTAAAATTGTGTTTATTGTCTGTTCCCTTTAAGAGAATGTGAAATTGGGCTATAAAAAGACCTGATCAATCCTGTTCCCTTCCATAGCCCCACTGTCTCACACATGGTAGATGCTTGGGATACCGGCATACAGTGCAAAGTTTGGTAATGAACATTTTTTTCTTTTTTTTGGATTGAGGATTGAACCCAGAGGTGCTCTACTACTGAGCTGCATCCTTAGTCCTTTTATTTTTTGAGACAGGGTCTCTAAGTTGCTCAGGGTCTCACTAAATTTCTGAGGCTAGCTTTGAACTTGTTACCCTCCTGTCTCAACCTCTCAAATTGCTGGGATTACAGTGCAGTGTGTGCCTCTGTGCCTTGCCCTTTTGATTTTTTGAGACAGGTCTGGCTAAATTGCTTAGGCTGGCCTCAAACTCGGGTTCCTTATGCCTCAGCCTTCCGAGTCACTGGGATTACTTATAGGCACATGCCACTGTGCAGGCTGGTAATGAACTTTTATCTACTTAATAAATATTCCTAAGAATGAACTGAATCTAAAAATAAACTCCTGAATTTGTTAGATTATGCTTACTTTTCTCTAGGCATCTTCTAATAACAAAGCATTATTCTAACAGTTTCCCCGATTCTGATCATGTGCATTTCAAAAGGGCCAGAGAGGAAAAAAAACAAAAAACAAATTTTAATTAAACTTTAAGCCCAAGCATGCTAGATTGGGGTCATTCCAAGAAAACACATGTGCAAACTAAACCACTGACAGTTGTGCAACATTCTAATTTTTCTTCTACATAAAAGAAACAACGGTGCAAAGGGGCTGGAAATCCTAATTGCCTAATAAAGATCCTGTGAATATTAAGTTAAATACAAATCACAATTACACAATCAAACATATCCTTTCATTTATAAAGGAGGGAAAAAACCCACATATCAATATCCATCCTTGAGGGAAATCTCCCTAGTAGTAACTCTCAAACTAAACACATTAATTCATAAACAATGCAATATAATTGAGTCTATTATTCATTAGACTCAGTTAAATGCCTAATTATCTTCACACCCTACCTCTGCTTTGTGCTTGATGACCTCTGATTACATTAAAAACAAGCAAAGCCAATGACATCTGGCCACTGCTTTTCTTTTTCACTCTTCTTGAACCCAGAGGTTCTCACTTTGCTATGTATTACATAATCTTCTGGAGACCATGAAAAACACTGAAAGCCAGACAGTATCTCAAACCAGTGAACCAATTTCAGAGGGTGGTGGGGCTGAGGTGGCATTATTTTTAAAGCTTCCAATGTGCTGCCCTAGCCCCTCACCTCTCTAAAGTGCAGTACATAGACACTACCTGGAGGATTCTAGGAACGCAGACCTTCAACTAGCCACCAACACCCCCACAGACTTTCTGAATCAGAATCTTTTAAACAACATCTCCAGGTGATTTACATATTGGAAGTCTGAGCATCATCAAATACCCACTTGGGAAAATTAACCTTTTAAAGCTTCAGTTACCTCATCTGTAAAATAACAGCAATAATACCGTCCTCATGGGCTTACTACGAGGACTAAATGAAATAAAACATGCTAAATGTGGAGGTTAGGGCTGGGCTGGCACCGAGATAAGCAGATGGTGCTTATCTCTTATTAATACAAGTCCATACTCTATAGGCTTCCTCTAATTCATTCTTACTTGCCTACATTGGTTCCATTTACAAACTCCACTGCTAGCTCCCAAATGTGTATTATATGATACCACTTATATGATACAGTTAAATATGCAAATAAATCCTAGTGGATCTAGTTTCTCCTTCCAGGCAGTAAGCCTTCTCCTAGAGTTCAAGGATTCTAGTTCTTCTAGGATGTCAAATGCCTGATGTTGTTTCTCTGCAAATATAAGTTCTCATACATTCCTGATGGTAGACTTTCTGGTTTCTTCTCTCACATGCTCTCCTCTTCTGTAATCCTTCTACCTGCCTCATAGTCTTCCTGCAACTGAACTATTTTTTTTTTCTAGGTATGACTTGTACTGTTAAAAGTCCTATAGTAGGCACTTCTAGCAACTAGCAGAGAGCAACAAAGTACATGAACCTTTTCCAACTGATGCTTGAGAGACTAATGTCTCAACAAGCTTCCCTTATAAGGTCACTTTTCAACAATGGAGAAATTGCTAAATGGAATTATGTTAATGAATTTATATCCCAAATAACCCTGAGTAGGTTACTGGGCTTCTGTAAATATTTTTAGTAAACAGACACCAAAGTAGTGCCCATCAGGAGTTAGCAGAGACTAAATGCCTCTCTCTGATTAAACTCATCTCCATTTTCAATAGGGTTCCTTCACCAGAAAGTCAAGGGAAGCCTTAGATAACACTCAAGAATTAGCTTCTGGAACTGGACACTGAAAGATCCTTCTGAACAAAATAGAAAAATGTGAGTCTAATGACAGTGGCTAGATGGCTTCAAAATTGGCCAATCCATCATAGCTGGGTTTCATTTTGGCATACATTTTTAAAAACGGTTCAACTTTTAAGAATAAATCTGAGGTATTGAGTTTAAGGGAAACATAAAACCACGTTGAATACCTCTTTCTGTGGCCCTTACACATTCTCAGTAGATAGTGAGTACAAAGTACCTTTACTCCATTGCCATTTCCCAATTTTGCCCTTGAAATTTCCGCTGGCTGCAGCAGTACCACTCTCGGGTGTATTCTGAGATGTATGGAAGAATGTCTTTCATTCAAGCTTCAAGGAAAGGGAAGCCTGTTGCCTTGATATGCTGAGGTAGAAGACACACCTGGGTTTTTAAAGAAATGTTTAAAAAGATACATTATATACTGTTTATAAACAGGGTACTACTTTCTTGTAGGTAGAACAGTCCCTGAATATGGGAATCTTTTATAGATTTGGGGGTTGTGGCATGCAACCCAAAGCAAGCAGGAATAGAGACTGGGATAGCCTTGGGATTCCTTGGAAGGAAGAGAAGTGTGGAGCAAAAGCAGACACACCTCTGCACTCAGGGGGGTATAGTCTGAGAACACCATGTTACAGAGTAGCCAGTGGGAAAGCAATGACTGGATGGGTCAGGGAAGCCAGGAAAACTGGAGCAAACAGTACACAAATCAGACAGAAGAGCAACAATACTGATTTGAAAGCTGGCCTTTTTGTCCCTGTTTTATTATAAACAGCTTTACCCACTGGAAGAAGAAGAGTAACCTGCTCTAGTTGACATTACATCCCATCATTTCCCTGAATAAGGAATGTTACAAATCTTTATCATTCTCTTCTGTCAGGCTTAATCATCAACTACTTTCCCCTTAGTATTTTCACTCATTCATTCATTAGTTCATTCACTCAAGTCCTGTGTGAGAGGCGGCAGCAGTGAAGATGACAAGTCCTGCCCTCAAGTTAAACTGAACCTTATGAATGAGGCACACCTGAAGAAGATGGGGGTGGGGGACGTGACCACTCAGCTCAAATATCTCCAAAATAATTACCAGAGTGCTGGGCAGGGAACCGAGTATGCCCTTCCAGAATGTGCTGATACCCAATAAAATTAGAGAGCTTGCAATAGTATAAAGGAACTATTTAATACTGTAAGAGTCAGTGATAAATCTTCAAAAGCAAAATCCACAACCAAAATACCAAATACAGTTTTACATAAAAGAAATAATTTGAGTCTTTGCTTTCCCATTGAGAGTAAGTGAATGCAGAACTATGAAATGTTTTAACAGGAATGGTGCTTCTTTATACTACAAGAGCCTGTTCAAAATGTATAGCTTAGGAGTGTTGTAGAAATCAATATTTTAGCCTGGGGTGGGTAAAATTTGTTTTACATAAAAACTCAGATAGTAAATGCTATCTTTGCAGGCCATATATCCTCCATCTGTCTTTGTACAGAAAATAGCCATAGAAAATATTAAACAAATGGGTGTGGCTGTGTTCCCTGCAGATACCCAAATCCATGGATGCTCAAGTCACTCACATAATAGCATAGTATTGCACATAACCTCTGCATATCTTTAATTCATCACTATTTTATACTTTTATTCATCACTATATTATTTATAATACCAAATGCAATGTAAATGCTATGTTTAGGAAATAACGACAAAAAAAAAATGTCTGCACGTGTTTGGCACATTTTTTTCCCCAATATTTTAAGTCCATGGTTGGCTGAATCTACAGATATGGAACTTATGAATCCCATGGGATAACTATATTTGCAAAACAGGCCTAGTCTGCAAATGTTTGTTCTAGTCCTATGAAATGGAATCCCTTGGGGCATCAATAAAATCTCCCAAAATCTCTCTTTCCTTGGTTTCCTCATGATCCTTAAGGGCCATGCTACTGAAAGGAGATCCTAGTCAAGCTGGTAACATGTGGCCTACATGAAATGGTTCCTGGAGGGTGGGCATGGCTGGTATTAATCGCCTGGGCTGTGGATGCAACAGGGGGGCAAGAGTCCTTGGCTTCCTATTTAACTACCTATGTTAGGGGTCAGAAACACATGGGATGGTAAACTTAAAAAATCTGCACTCGCTTTCTGGTTTTTATTCTTCAATGTCTCAGAGCTTCAGGGAGCTCAAATTTTTCATTTGTCAGCCTTTCAAGACCCTGCCCTAGAGATGTTCTGTGACTTCATCTTCCTCTCACATGACCCCTACATATCACCATATCTTCATCTTCCCCTTTTTCTTCTAATTCACAATGTGCCAAGAGATGCAGTAACAAAAGCAAATCAATATTTATAATATGTAATTTTTATTAAAAATAATTGTCAAAAATCCCAAAAGAGATGTCTAGCAAAGAGCCTACAAAACTGCAACTTTTTTTTTTTTTTTAATATGGCACTGGGGATTGAACTGGGAAGATTGGGTACTCTACCACTCAACTGTACCTCCAGCTCATTTTTATTTTTTTATTTTGAGACAGGGTCTCATTAAGGGATCCTCCTGCATCAGCCTCCCAAGCTGCTGGGCTTACAGGTGTGTGCCACCATACGCAGCCTGCAATTTTTGAATGCATCTGTTACACAAGATTATATAAGAGTACCCTGTTTGATCCCACATGTTGACTTCAGTCATGAGGCCATACAACGTGGTTCTTTACCATACAATGGGATCTAATACACAGCAAGCAATAATAACCAACAATACCTGCAAAACTGCAATAGAAAAGTGTATTTGGCCTGGACATTATATAGTGGTGAAAAAAAGAGTTTCTATCTGAATCATCCAATGGTGGACAGAACGAAGAGGTTGGGCATAGGGGAAAGGCAAATTATTTACCAGAAGGGAAAGATGAACGTATTCAGTGCATCATTTTCTCAGAGATGAAGAGAATTGAGTCTGAACTTGAATACAACCCACCAAATTAAATAGAGCTTGAATCTTGCCTTCTTCAAACCCTCTGGAGAAACATGCTAGAATATATTATAACAAACATTGCAGCTGCATCAATGATACCTAAAACCCAGTAAAGGGCACTATAATAGACCTTTTTCATCAACTAAGATAATTTTTAAATTAAAAATAAGATATACTTACCTGTAGAATTTCAGATGAGATTAAATCAATAGCTGAAGTTTTTTGTGGTTTTCTGTATTCCATTCTTTAAACATTCAGATTTGCTGTGAAATACTTAACAGAAGAAAAAGATTATATTGTGACAAAACTGTTACTATAACATCTAAAATCAATGTTCTACACTTAGAAAATTGCTATAGAAGTAATTATGTATCAACACTTTTTTTCAATTTTGGAAAAGCACTGATCCCTTCTTCTGCCTCCTGGCTCTCAAATAACCTCATGCTCTAATCTGGAATTATATTTGGTCACTGTTTGATAACAGACTATTTTTAGGGCTAGAGTTACCCAATGACCATTCATTCTGAATGAGGTTTTTAATCTAAGGGGGGGGGGAGATTCTATTACATATTCCCATCTCTTCGATAATTTGTGTTTCTATCAGTCATCAACACATTCTGAGAGCAGGAGCTCAGCTCCCTGCTTGAGCCCAAGACACCTGGGGAGCTGCAGAGAGGAAAACAAACAAACGTGTTTTTGGTTAAAGGCTGCCAACTCAAATCTTCCTTACTTCTGAAAACAGAAAAAAAGGGCATGGTTTGGCAATTCCCCCCCCCCCCCAACAAAGGAGTCACCTCCTAAAGGCCGGCACAGATGAAAAAGACCAGATCTGCTGGGGGGGGGGGGGGGAGAATCTCTAGCCCGGTCCAGTAGTGAAAAGAATAAATACGAATGCAACGACTACCTATGCACACTGCTGGCATCATTCATTACTGCTTGGAAAAGTGAGGCTCCACTGCACCTTTTGAAATGCCTGTATACTACTCATTGAGACCGCCTCTTAAGAATCATGCAGCCCCAGCCCCTCCGGGTTTCCTTCTCCTCTTCCTCTCTCTCTCTCTCTCTCTGTCGAATTTCCCCACTCCCTTGGGTGCAGATTTTTCTCCAGTCCTCCCCGTTAAGGGCCCTCCTACAATCCGGCCCCGGGGCCCTTCCCCACCGCCACGGAAATGCGTTCGCTCCAAACCCATTGGAGACCCACCAATACCATTAGCACCGTCCGGGTCTTTTCCCGTCGCAGAGACAAACCCCCTCCCTGGCAGCTGGAGCGGCACCGGGCGACCAAAAGGCAGAGCTTGCGCCCTAGGGCAGGAGAGGGTGAACAACCTGCGGCTGCGGCCTGGGCTCGCCACGCGCACCAGCGTCCCTCTGTGTTGCCCACGGCCCCACCAGACTCCTTCTCCCGCGCACACAGGGGCCAGGAATTGCCGCCAACAAGGCCCAAGACCCCAGGGCGTGGCGGCTCGAGGCGCAAACCCAGCTGCGCTTTGTAGAGGGCCGAAAAAGTGGGCGGCGCCTCCGGGCCTCGCCGGCCGATTTTCCGCTTTCCCAAAAGGTTAAGTCCCGGGACCACGCCTGTCAGCCAGCCTGGGTCTCAACCCTCTCCGGGTGGACACAAGGCCCTGCCTCACACTCACCTCCTGCGCGCAGCGCCCACTCAGCTCCGACGCGGGCCGCACTCCAGCCCTGCGCGCACACAGAACCTCCCCGCAGCCGCACGCACGCCCGGGGGCGCGCGCAGACCTCGCGCTGGGGCTGCGGCCCAAGCTATCCTTGCTTGCACGCGCGGGCCCAGGCCCGCGGCATCCTTGCGCGCTCCTTGGCGCTCTCTCTAGATGTTGCGTTCCAAACACTGTGGTGTTATGAATGCATTCGATAGTTGTGACTGATAGAGGTTAGACAACTTAACGGCAGACTTCAGGCTAGGATTTCTGTTTAAGACCCGCTCCTCTGTATCTCTTGCCGTTTTCCAAGCTGCGTAAATGCACAGCCTCCAGGAGTTCCTGGAGGGATTTTCTTGTTGAACTCCAAACACAGCTAATTAGGAAAGAAGAAACCTTGGAGTGGTGGTGGTGGTGGGTATTCTTTGTTCTCCGAGAGTGTACGTGATCCTTTTAGAACTGATGGGGAATAAAAGTTGAGTCCCCATCATATTACAATGATCTGTGTGGACTGGAGTTCCAAGGAATCTTGTGCTCTCAAGAGATTCCTCTTGAAACCAACAGTTCAAGGAAGCTCCACCCTGTGCGTCACTACTCATGGCTCCCTGGAACCGCTTTTTCCAGTGAGAGCTGGGTGTTGGTATGTGGATTCTGGTCGTGCCAGTCTGTGGGTGGAGTTGGTTAAATTAATAAGTAATAATAATAATAACAAAAATACTACTCTTAGGCCACAGGACCTCTGGAAGAGTGCCATCTGAAAACAATTCCTAATCCAGTCCTTTGGCTGGGAGACTGTGCAACAGCCACAAGAAAAGTTGAAAGAACAGTTCAGTGAACACACACATATATATACATGTGTCGAAGATTGAACAAGTGTTTATAATTTATTATAACTGCTTCCCCCTTCCAATACTTCAGCCTGCATTTTTCCTAAGACTAAAGACTTCTACAAAACCACAGTAAATAGTCACATTTAGGAAACAACAACTCAATAATATCACCTAATATCTAGACCATGTTCAAATTTCCCCAATTGTTGAAAAGGTCTTATATATTGGTTTTGAAGAAAGATGATATCATCAAGATTCATACATTGCATTTTTCATGTTTGTCTCTTTTTATGGATAACAGCATCAACCTTTTTTGTTTTCCTGGCATTAACTTTTTGAAGTTTATCAGTTTGTCTTTTTTTGTCCTTTTGCTGTTAATTTTCTTTAGTGCCAGAATTTCCTGTAAGCTGAAAAGAAAGTGTGGTGGCTTGATTTGACCACAAGAATCCTTCATAGGTTACATGATACTCTTCATATATTTTCCCATTAGGGAAAACATAACATTAAATATTAAGCACATAATATCAGTTGTCCTGATACCAATGATCAGGAGGCATTCTCCAGAATTCTTTATTATAAAGAATTATGAAAAATGCTTATTTTTGTATCTAAAAAGTAATAGATGTTAGGTGGAGACTTTGAAATTCTTTTGGGGGAGAAGTCTTAAATTCTTGCAAGAACCAAGGTTATATAAGACCACACTTTCATGAGTATCCCAAGTTGTCACTCACAGGAAAGTATCTTGTGAATGGGCTAATGTGACCAGCCTTAGGCATGAAAACCAGTCTTGGAGAGCATATCTTTGATTCGTTCAACTATACAAGGCAACAAGGACATCTCATGGAACAGGACATACAGAGACCCTTTAAAATTTGTTTTCTTAAAGGAAGATAAATGTGGGAGACCATCCTTCCACATGACTGAATTCCACCCCGCTAGGTGTGAGGTGCTCAGTCACTTTTAATGTGGCAGAGCTTTCCCCACCCTTCTTGGTTCGAGAGCTTGTCCGTGTGGAGGCATGTCTCACCACTGTCCCAAAGATCCAATCATGGCACCTGACCTTGCAACACTGCCCCCTCTTGACCTTGCAACACTGCTCCCCCTTGACCTTCATTGGATGGGATTTTCCCCAGAATTCTTTGTTCACCAATAAAAGCCCTCTTCCTAGTGTGCTCCCCTCTCTCTCGCTGGCCTCTTCAGTAAAACCTCGCTGCCCCCCTGGGGAGCTTGAGGCTGAGGGTTCCAGGAGCCATTTAAGGTAAAACGGTGTCTATGTCTTTAATTTAAACTCCCTGAGGATTTTCCTGTGTAACCGAACCGTTCCTGTCTGCACTGGCCACGGACTAAAGATAAACAAATAGACAAGATCATTTTTAAGGTTCATATGTACCGCGAAGGTGCTAGGATAGAGGGATATGATGGAGATAGTGCTACAAGCCAAGCACAGTGTTGATGTCACTGGAAAACCATCAACATTGTTAAGGGAAAAAAAAATCACTTGTCAGTTTCAATCAGTTGTCCCTTCTACTTCACAGGGTGGCTATGAGCTTTTAATGCAATGTGAGCTTTTTATGACATCAGGCATGAGCCTTTGAAGACAAATCCATTCACCTAGGCAGACACAGCAGTAATCCTCTGGATTTTTCTGACACCTACAACTTCAAATCACCTAGGACTAGATCCAGTATAATTGAGTTGAATACTAGCTTTAACTTAAAGAGCAGTAAGCTCTGTTCCCTATTGACTATGGATCACTTTAGAGTTCCTGAGGAGAGCTATACCAAAGCAGTGATGTTTTCTTATGATGTATATTTTAATAAGATTTGATAAAATCCGGGAATTCTCTGTTTTTACCTGGGAAGACATGGTCTAATCTACATCCATTTTAATAACAGAAACAAATCAAGAATATGTAATTTAGCATGTAATCTTTGCCTTTGGTCATCTGGTCTCTGAAATATCATAAATATCTAGAGGAGGAAGCTTATCCACTTAAGCTCCTAAGCTCTGCTAGGCAGTAGCTCTGTCAAGTTTTTTTTTCTATATAACAATGATTATCCCACCTTCCACAAGAGAATTCACAAAGGACATCATTTATTCCACAGACAAACGTAGTGTTGTAAACAGCCTGTATCCTTCTTCTCAAAAGAGGACAGTTTCCAGTAAGTCCAAATCAGTGGATCATATTGCTGTTTTCATTTGCATCAGCAAATTAGCTTCTGCTCTGATCCCTGCCAGTTGATCTGAACTTCATCAGAGCCAGCATTCTGAGTCTAAGTCAGAAGCCCTGAGATAAAAGCTAGACCCAAAAGGCCTGTAGCATCATTTCCAACACATTCTCTTGGTCAAAAGCAAGCGCAAGACTGTTCAAGGTCCAAGGGAAGGGGCCAGGCGTGGTGGTCCATGCCTGTAATCCCAGCGTCTCCAGAGGCTAAGGCAGGAGGATCATGAGTTCAAAGCCAGTCTTAGAAACTTAGCAAGGCCCGAAGCAACTCAGTGAGACCCTGTCTCTAAAAAAAAAAAAAAGGGTAGGGAGCTGGCTCGTGGTTAAGTGCCCCTGGGCTCAATCCTAATACCAAATTCTACTACTACTACTACTACTACTACTGATAATAATAGTCCAAGGGAAGGGAACTGGACAAAGCAGTGATCTTTAGGAGGTAGGGCAGTTTGTAAAGCAACTACCATACTGCTGTAGGCCAAATATAAATTTGAATATGAAGAATTGATTGTACTGGTCCTTTGCCTAAAATCAAGTAGGTCTGAGTATGTATTTAACCACTACCCAAGTCTAGCCATGATCACCATCCCAGTTGTGACTCACACAATTGTGTCAAGCCTATAAATATGGCCCATTTCTTTTTGTTTATAGACTCTTGGTTCAAATGCTTCTTCCTTATCAAAAGTGGCAAAAGGGAAAAGAATAGGGGAGTGAAATATACATCTTTAAATCACAGTGATTTGAAGGTTCTCTAAAAGTAATAGGGATAAATATAGTTCAGAATGTGTGTACAATGAAACTAAGTTTAAATAGAAACAGTATAAGTTCAGAACTTAGTTGGCACTGTGTAAATGATGATCTAAACCATGATTATCATTCTTTTTCTGGTTCCTGGTAGGTAGCTGTGCCCTATATAGATGGTAAAGTGATTGCTACCCCATTGGATCCCTTTATCACAGCATAAGTGACAGCTCACCTCACTAAGTAAAGAAGTTCTATCAATAACAAAACTAAGCATATTCCATTGCAAATGGATTAATATATTTAAAAAAACAGACCTCTGTATTTGGAAGGATATTTCAGGACATTAATATTTTATTTTACAAATCCTTTTTTTAATTTTAAAAATTATATTTCAATATCTGATTCTAAATTGTTTTGAATATCCCTTGAAAAACTAACATGTGTATGTATACAGAACTTCCAGAATTTCCCTAGAATGCAAAACAGAGCCAAGAACAGTAGTTTGGAGGTAAAAACTTCTCCCAAATGAAATAAATGAGAAGAAAATCTCCAAAAGCTTTAAGAGACTATTTCCTTCGAGGCAGTCTCCATTTTCTTTGAATAGCATTTATTGTTTGTGAATCAGCTATCTATTGCTGCAGAACAAGCCACCCCTAAATTTAGTTGCTTGCAAATATATGAATTTTATCTCTCACAATTTTGAGGATTAGTTGGGTGTTTCTTCTCTAGTTTTGTCTGTATTCACTCACAAGATTACATTCAGCTGTAACAATGGTTGAAATTTTTTTCTGTAAAGAACCAGAGAGTAAATATTTTAGACTTAGCCTCTGCTATAGTTTGGATCTGGAATGTCCCCAAAGGCCTGTGTGTCAGAGGCTTGATCCCCAGCCTATATCACTATTTGGAGGTGATGGAACCTGTAAGAGGTATGGCCTAGTGAAATAGTGAATGTTGTACATCATTGGGGGCATGTTCTGTAAGGGGATTGTGGAAACTTAGTGTCTCTCTCTCTCTTTATATATCTATATCTATATCTATATCTATATCTATATCTATATCTCTCACGTTTTCCAACCATGAAGTGAATGGCTTTGCTACTATA